TGTCGATCGACAGTTACTAAGTGTCGATTGCTAGTAAAAAGAGTAACTTTCCATGTCCCTAATGGGCCACCGTAGTTGTATGATGTCAACAGATCTAAAAATCTGCATTTTTTTGCCTTACTGAAAGCTCTGGATTAAAATTACATTGTAAGAGAAGCCGAGTAAAAAAAAACGCTATTTCGAGAAAAGATGAGTGACATAATCCATTGGACCTCAATTTAATGCCGAAACAAGTCTAAGATATCATAATTGTTAACAAACACATCAATAAACAAAAGAAAAAACTTGTAAAACTTACTGGGTTGCTTTTTTTGTCGAGTTGACCGAGTCCATGGCGATTAACGAGTCAAACTGTTTACAGAAGGCAAACAAATTTAATTTAAATACCGTGTTCAAATCGTTTAAGTCGCTTAGAAATTCGACAAAAATGGTCTACTGAGAATAAACTGTTAACAGTGCTAAAGAATTTCGCACAAACTGTGTTTAAATGGCATTATTTTGATCAAGTTCACTCACGTTTTACACGCGACGGCAAAATGGCCTTCTTCACGTCACAGACGGTAATTGAGCAGAAACTAAGTCTCTGAGTCAAGAAACTTAGAAATTTCATGCAAGTGTGAGTGAAAAGGGAGAGGGCGGTTTGAGATATGGAAACAAGTGCTTACCGTCACAGTCACAGACAAGGCCGCTACGGCGGGAAACTTCGCAACGACGGCAGCCGGAAGTCTTTCTAGCAGTAATTTCACTTCCGCTCGCCGTCACAGACGTCTGCCGTCGTCGAATCTTAAGCAAGCTAAACGGCCCACCGCCATTTTTGCCTGGTTTGTCCCTAGTGCTAGAATTTTCCTAGCGAAGTCAGTTTACATGGTACTATGATCTCCCCAGTACTAAGATCGTCCTACCTCTCAGCCAGGAAAATCCTAGAACTAAGAAGTTCCTAGCGATAAGGATAAGTACAACCCTTTGCATGTAAACTAAATAAAGAAACCATATGTCGCTAGGATGATCCGCCTTCTACGATCCTCCTGGTCAACTAGGATCTTTCTCTCTCCATGTTTACAGCCAATTAATTTGACTTTCCTGACTGGCCAGAAAAAGCAAGGATTTCAAATGTTTCGGAAGCGAAGCCTCGTTTACAGGTGCAAGTCTTTCCATGAAAAGAAAAAAAAAACGAAAGCCATACGACTGCTAACAGGAAAACGTTACTTGCAGAGTAAGGAACGTGTTCCTGAGCGTAGCATATTAGAACGCAATTGTACCATGGTTGAAATTTTGCTTCTGGGTAGCTCATAAAAAATTTTAAAATTAAAAAAAATTTTTTCAAATGTTTCGGAAGCGAAGCCTCGTTTACATGTGCAAGTCTTTCCATGAAAAGAAAAAAAAACGAAAGCCAGAAGACGGCTAACAGGAAAACAAGGACAACGGCATCAGCAGAGGAAAACGTCACTTACAGAGTAGGCCACGTGTTTCTGAGCGTAGCATATTGGAACGCAATTGTACCATAATTGAAATACTGCTTCTGGGTAGCTGATAAAAAATTTTTTTCCGCTGTGGAAAACGTTCCTTAGAAAAATATTCGCAACAATTACGACTGTTAAAATCCTGGGTATTTAATAAGATATAATACATCTTTTATGGCACACTCGACGCATCTCTCAATTACGTCAGGCAGGCTTAAT